TTTTTTGGCGCACTTATAGTGCATAATTAAATAAATAAAAAAATAAAATGATCATACGAGCAGAAAAAATCGAAAGCTCACCTGGCTAACCATATGCATCCTTCGACTACGTCGCACTGCACTCAACACTAAGGAATTCAGTATGATCAGTAAACTGAATGGTACCACGTACATTACTATGGTGTAAGCCCATCCGAAAAATATATTCCTAAAAACTGGCTCAAATTTGAAGCACAGACCAGTTTGTAATTGTTCTTTTCGATGGCACTCTCCATTTAAGAAGACGGCGATGAGAGGATTTTAATGCAGTACAATAGATACGAACCTTGATAAGCGTGCGTACGTCTTTCGTCAACAGTCCGAAGCAAAAAAACTTCTCAAAGTTAGACTCAAAACTAGCGCGATTACCGCTAATGACTTCGCCTTTTTTAGCAAAACTTTTACAATACAGTCAGCTCAAAGGCTCCGCTATCGTAATTCAACAAATCGCCATCTAACTTTATCTAAACATCGTCTTGAAGCAAGCACCTGTACAAATCAGATAGCCGTAGCTCAGTTGGTTGCAATGCAGGCATATAATGATTGATGTTGATTCGATAACATACGTTTGAAACATGTACCTGAATGATTAAGATGTCAGAAATGCAATCACTGGTCACTAAAAGCACCTCAAAAAAGCGCGTTGTGTTGAACAATATGCCGAAAACGACAAGGCTGATAATAAATGTAGTAACCCGCTTTTTCGGTAACCATTCTACCGACTTATAAGGATGACAAACTCCAACGTATCGATGCACTGAGACTCCAACTGTCATGAAGACGCTATAACTTGGTGCTTAAATTTGATAGAAAATTTGTGCGTTTGCTTACCTTATAGTTTGCGCCATCATCATAAGACCATACATATATGGAGCAACAGAATAGCTGGAAAAGTACATTGGAAATCTGCTGAAAGTTGCTTCTTATTGAAGGCGAGTGAATGGAAATATCAACGTGATTTGTTAGGGTGATCCAAAAGTATTGGGACACCTACAGAATAAAGCGCTTTTTCAAGCAAAAAAAGTAAAGGTTGCCCTTTTTGGCAGATGTTGGCATATACATTACAAAATCTTCTAATCAATGTCTTTAGATGCACACTATCGCACGGCGACATTCTTATAAGTGTTTGAAACCAAATTCGTCAATTCAAGTAATTTCGAATTCCAAGTAGCAATGCCGTGTGAAAAGTGTAGTCAAAAGTATACATGCCGCTGCGCGTGAGGGGACCGTCACCAACTGATAGCCTGGTGGTCCAACTCTTGCTTGTAAAACTCGTGTTGCACAACAGGCTCTATTCTTAATCATAAGGACGAGGCATACGCTTCGTGATGGAATTGTCGCGAATTCTAATTGCCACGATATGCTGATAGCGACGAAAACGCGCAACGAAATCGCCAATCGCTCGGACTTGGGCATACCACTGCGCCGAATTGTGCAATCTCACAATCAAGCGCACGTTCTACGAAACATAGATAGTTTCATCTGATGATCCTTTCTTCATGCTTCAACGCTAAAGTGATGGAGGCAAAGGTTGTAATTATCACCTACAGTACATGGCCTAAACTTATGTTCAAACTTATATGTCTTCTGTTTTGTGCCACTATACATGTTTGATCAGAGATTACCGTTTTTGTATGTAAGTAAAGTTGAAATATGTTGTCAACAGTGGCGTACCCAGAAATTTTTTTCGGGGGAGGCGCGACAAAAAATTTTTTGGATGGAGGTGCGTGGCGTCAGCCACGCACTCCG